CGTGACGCAGGTTACCACTTCCTGCATGCCGTTCTTTGCACGGCAGGCGCTGTTAGCAGCGAAAAAACAAAAACGCACTTTAAATTCGATATAGTTTATGTGTAGAAGGCATGTGTAACCTGTGGCCGGCGAAGCAGTACCGTTCTGTCGGAAAAGTATTGACACACCGCGGGAAAGACATGTTCCATACAAACATCCTTATATTCCACAAAACCTTGCATTTGATACAATGCTGTTCGATAATCGATAAGTAACTCAATGTGTATTTCAATCAAAATTCTCGCAGTTTCTTGTACAATTCTTTGGGAATTCCTTCAAACCAGACTATGACCACAGAAACTTCTAAAGCAATGAATCTTAATATGTTTACTGCTAACTTAATGGGTTATTATTAAGAGATGTTGTCTGATGTCAATTTCTTCTTCATATATTTATGAAACGGTTCTGTTAGAATGAAATACAAGTCCATAGGAATGACACTACTCAAGATTCTACTGAATTCTAATTGCTACTCCAAATATGGATGTGAATGATGTTCCGAAGGAAACGCTTGTTATTTCGTGGTTGCAGGTATTAAACTGTGTCACATTTTATCCATCAGGCCTACACTTAAATCGTTGCCACAACATTAATATGACGAAAATACCGCAACAGTTATGTGTTCTAGTATCATTCCACGAAATGTGACCTCTGTTCAATGGAGAATTTCCTTAAAAATCCTCCACGTGGGACCTCATTTCGCTTTCTCGGGCTGAATAGCCATTCTGCGTACCAACTGTTCATTGTTTGAATGGTTACAACAATTTTTAAAGTTCTTCTTTCAATGGCGAAAGCATCATTTCTACATATTTTTAGTTATTGTTTAATAAATATTTAAAAACACTCGCATAGTTTGTGATCAACCTGTATGTAGCTGTTGACATAATAAGCCTATACGATAATTCATAATCGGGTGTCCACGTCACTTGTTAAGTTACTTTAAAAAAAAAAACAAGTTTAAAACCCGCACTACCAAGTTTTACAAAAGTCGATGGGCTATTTCCACGAGCTGGTAACCAAGCAACAAGTTAATCAATAGCAATGGTGAATACCTAACAGATGTTAACGTCGGTATGAGTCAACAGAACGTAAGATTCGGAAGACAGAATAATATTTTACTTGCCAGGCTACAAAACGTCCATGCAAAAGACGATTCGGAAGCACGATATTTGTTCCACTCAATCTAATTCTGAGATCAACAACCCGAGTCTTGAGCGACCTTGATATGGCAACCGGTCATAAAATTATGTGGCCTGCCTGCGGGCTGGTGTTTCCCCAAAAATAATTAATTATATAGATTAAATAAAAATTAATAATTGGTATAAAGAAAATGTAATATTCTTCCAATCCTGATTATGGGATTTTCATTCGACACAGATAAAACGTACAGACGACCTACTAAACCATCTGAAGACTAGGTTCGTTTAAATAATATTCAATATTTCAGTCCACACCGCACACTTCTCCATTAGAAACATCAGTCCATACTGTCACTTTTATTAAGAAGGGCATTAGGGTCTAATTTACTTCCAGAACTAAAGTAATACGGTTTGAATTCAAGTCCTGCGCCGATACTGCCATCCACGTCATAAACGAGGCATCAGGAAGTCCCTCACAAACAACAAATTAAATTGGAATAGTTTTTGCAAGAAAACCCGTAAACTGCGATGTTTTAAAATCAAAATTAACTAAACTGTAGTAAACATATTGCCTGTCACTTTTTTTTGCATTGCGCGGACACATAATTCTTGTAATCAACTGTTCCACTTTTAGAAACCTTGACAGGATTTCTAGAGCTCACTGTGGAATGTCGCTGCAGTCATAACCTCGATCAACAAACCAACTTTCATCGCCCGTTCGTCAGGAGACTGGCTCGGTATTCACGCGTATAATAAATCATTTGATTGCATACACGTTATAGAACAGATCCACATTGTGGCATTGTGTCAAATTGTTTTCTTTTTACTCTGTTACAAATCCTTTCATAATGCAAGAACATCATCATCTGCTAGAAAAATGAAGCCAATTATGCAACAAATTACATGCAACGGTCCTGACCGGAAAACCAACCATCGCTGAGGTCTCTGCCTCTTACAAAACACACCAATGGCCCCTGCCAAATGAATCCTCTCATTTCTTTAAGATACATTTTTAAAAACAGCAAACAACAAGCTACGCCTAGGTCTAATGGAATCTTCCTTCCCTTTAGGTCTTCTGACCAAAAATGTTGTACGCATTTCTTATCTCTTCTATGCTAAATTTATTTACTACTACAGAGTGGGTGAGAAGTGAGTAGACATTGAGAAATGGTTATAACCTCTATATTTCAAATGCAAAGATATTATTTAATGCCTACTTACTTCCCACCCATCCTGTAGATTATAATTAGTACCGGTATCTACATAATTTTTATGAAGCAGGGTCTATCCTGTGAAGACAATTGTCACTCAGCTAATCCACAAACTCCCTGACTTTTTTTAAGTCCCCAAAGTACATTACAGTGTTAACAAAAGCCAGCAGCTGGACCCAATCCTGAAGCAAATGAAACCATAAAATGTGGTCTTTTGAGTTGTGACGCTAATTAATCCTAAAGACTGCTGTTACGTTTCGGCTACATCTTCTACCCTGAAATTAAGACAACACGTTCCTCCGACACATCGTTAACTACCTACAAGACTACGGGGCGTCACATTCACATGCCAACCCCGAATCTCAAACAGATTAATCTAGTGTGCAACTTCATACTACATTTTCTGGTTCGTTCCCAACGAAGTTTCAAAAACGTGATTATTACCTTCGTGATGTTTGTCAGTCTGTCTGATAGTCCATCCGCAAAAGACCGCTGTAAGGGTTTTAATGACATTTGGCAATGTGGAGTTCTAGTATAAAAGTTGTCGACACATTCGAATTATATTTAAAATCAGACAAAAATAACAAACTCTTTACATGCTTAGCCCAGGGATTTCTGATTAGGTTTTTCAAACTTATTGGGGGGGGGGGGGGGG